GGCGGTAGTAGGAGACCGACTCGTCAAACGTGACGTCCTGAGAGGACAGAATACGGCGAAAGGTGGGGTGGTAGAACTGCCACCTTGGCGCATCAGGGGGGTAGCCAGAGAAAATGCAAGGAGCAGCACGAGGGGACAGCTTGTCCACAGACAAGTCGCGAACAAACGCCCGAGATCCCCAGACACGGAACGCAGACGCATCGCCAACCTTCCCCGTCCACAGCAAAGCTGGGGAGGCCTCCGGCATGGAGACCCTGGGGTGAAGGTTGATCTGATGCGCCGCGTACCGAACCGCAAACGGCCACAGAAAATGGGGGGCAGCCGCATGCCTCATGGATGTACGGGCGACGTCCATGACCATGCCAATGCGGCGCTCAGCAATCCCATTTTTCTGTGGAGAATATGGAAGCGTGAAGGTCTGGCAGATGCCTCGTGCTCGACAGTAGGCTCGCACAACGCTAGAATAGAACCCTCCGCCTCTGTCAGAGTGCAGACGCAGAACAGGAAAGTCCGAGCCGAAGCTCCGCCAGAGCTGGAGACGAGCTGCGCGGATCCAGTCTATCAACACCTCGGTGACATCACCCTTGCTGCGCAAGGGGAAGACTGTGGTGTAATGCGAGTAGCCATCAACCACTTGCAAGAAGTAGCGCTCGTGACCCTGTCCACGGATGCGGGCCGGGCCCCACACGTCCATGTGAAGCGTCTGCAGCGGGGCCTCTGTCGGAGGAAACTGGGACGAGTGAGGGGCAGCCCGCTAGTGCGCCTCGACACAGGGGACGCAGGTAGGGCCAGGCCCCGGAGGAAGGGGAGGGAGGGACCAGGGAAGACCAGAGACAAGGACACGGGAGGCCATGCCTCGCAGACAAAGCAGGGAGGGGTGACCAAGGGGGTGGTGCCAGAGGAGAGTCTCGTGAGACAGGAGGCGACACGAGCAGGGGGCGGACTTAGGACCAGACCTGAACGCTGCAGCAAACACCTGACCCGACGCAGCTACTTGACCAGATGCAGTGACTGGAGGAGACGCAGTGGTCAGTGTGTACAAGCTCGACCCTGGCCGATGTGTAAACGTGGCCAGGTGTCGGCTTGTCCGAGCGTCCGTGCAGTGGGTCACCCGCTGACTCGCAGGAGTGAACTGGTCAAAGCCCGCATCAGATAGGTCAGCACCACTCACCAAGTTCATAGAGAACGAGGGGAGGTAAAGACCAGATAGGGTGCCAGAGGGGGCCGTCGGACACGGGAGGACAGTGGAGAAGTGAGCAAGGACAGGACCCCCAGAGGGGTCTGCCGGAGAGACTGCAACTGGCCGGCCAAGCGGCGTTAGTGAGGTGCGGTCTCGAAAGAAGGAGCGAGAAGCCCCCGAGTCAAGGGTGAAGGTGTGGAAGGGCGAAGCCAACGCAGTACCAGAGAGAGCAAACTCACCAGCACCTAAAGGAGAAGACGCACAAGCACCTAGAGCAATAGTCTTGCTAGCACCCAGAGCAACAGCCTCACCAGTACCTAGAGCAGCAGTATCAATGCCCAGGTCGGGTGGAAAACACCGGTAACAGTCACCCTCATCACTAATAATCACGAAGCTCTTTGTGACGCTGCCAGGCATGCTGGCGCTGATGAACCACACGTATGTGGACGTGTTCAAGATCGATTGCAAGGGTTGCGAGCTGGAAGTCATCAAGTCATCAAGATTGAGCTGCCTCTCTCTTTCTCTCTCTCTCTCTCTCTCTCTCTCTCTCTCTCTCTCTCTCTCTCTCTCTCTCTCTCTCTCTCTCTCTCTCTCAAATGTCCTTGTCCTTGTACATCAAAATCCTATAGTTTCCACTCCCACTTTCAGTTTCCTCTCGTCCTTCTCGTCCCCGACATCTATTTCTAGTGTTGTCGTTCGTCTCATGGTTGTGCACATTATCCCCATAGAAAGCCTTTTCAATAGCAAAACCATGTCGCTTTATTTTCATGTGCCCGCAGCCTACACAAACCAGCACTTCTTCTCCTTGCGCTATACGCACTGGAGAACCTTGGGTATCGCATGTTCCATGCGAAGTTCAATGCTATCTGCCAGAACTGCGTAGAAATCAGCTTCATCCATTAAGGGCTTGTCATTCCATCAAACCCTGAAAGTTGCTCATTTTGGGGAGGGAAATGAGCGTGTATCATATACGATAGATGAGATGCTGAGCTGAATGCCAACTTAATGCCATAGGACACGTTAAGATAAGATTTACAAATCCTAAAATACAGTAGGGGCTGTCTGTCAGTATCACATAGAATTTGTCTGATGGTTATAAAATAGGGCAATGTGTTAATCTGATTTTGTAGACAACTTGATTAATCTCATACGAAAGTTCAGTTCAGATCTGAATTCGTTTGATTATTCAGAAATGTTATCAGACCTACTGTCAAATGGGAGAATGACCAGAATGTAAGCATACAGGTTGGATATGTAACCGTACAATCCCGTACCCTCTACATATCACATCAACTCACTCCAATAGGTAGTAGTCTCGTTATTATGGATTAAGTTTGATACAAAGTCGTGGTAATTAAGAGAAGGGGTATTAGAGGAAGGTAAAGATGGTGGAACAAAGAACGGGTGATAAGGAGAGAAGAGCTGGAGAAGAAGAGAAGGGCCGAAGGAAAGGTGGAAAGAGGAAAAGAAGAGAAGAAGAAACTAAAAGGAGGAAACACCTAAGGAGTAGCTAGTAAATAATATGTGTTGCATAGCACCCGTATCACCCCAGATATAAGCGCACGTGCGCTTATAATGAAACACTGTTTTGGACGGGCACTGTGTCGCTGTGCCAAAGACCTTGCCTATACTGTGTTGGACGGGGGAGGTTGGCGATGCGACGGCGTTTCGGGCCTGAAACGCGCTCTCCCTTGTCTGTGATACCACCGCGGGCAAGCTCTCTCCTCTCACTCTCCGCGGCGTCTTTCTTGGCTTCCCCACCGATGCTTCGCTCTGGCAGTTTTACCACCTTGCCTCGCACTGCGTCCTATCCTCACAGGACGCCACCTTTGATGGGTCGGTCTTCTTCAACTGTCACCACCCGCACGTGTCTTCCCCCTGCCCCTCTTCCTGGTCCCGGGTCCCCCCCTAGTAGACCCCCTCCCCCCATAGGGTCCTGCTCCCTCAGGTGTGTCTCGGGTCGACCCAAACCCCTTGGTTGAGCCTTCGGAGGTCTCCTTTGACCCATTTGGCCCAGCTGAGAGGGGTGACCGCGCTGCTGACGACACGGGGGCCATTCGCCGCTCCCCGCGCTTGGATACCCCTCCTAGTTTTCCGCCTCGGCCGTCTTCGCCACCTCCGCAACCTGTCGTTGTGAACTCTGGTACTGCTGGGGGTGGTGACACTGGGGGTGCGGACTCTGGAGGTGCTGGTCATAAGGATGCTGCCTCTAGGGGTGCTGAGTCTACGGGTGCTGGAGGTGGTGGAGGTACAAGAGCTGCTGGTGCTGGAGGTGCTAGAGGTGGAGGTGCTGGAGGTACTGGAGCTGCTGGTGCTGGAGGTGCTGGAGGTACTGGCTCAACGGCAAGAGCGGAGGCGCCGCAAGAGAGGGAGGAGAGGAGGGCAACAGGGGTGGCTTGTAAGGAGCCAGCAAGGGCGGGAGGTTGGAGGGCAGCATGAGGTGTTGGCGAGGGGGCAATAAGAGCTGCAAGATGGAGGGCAGCAGCTGCCGCATGGCGGCGGGCAAGTGCAGCTACAGGGCGGAGGTACAGCAAGGGCCGCTAGCGTGGGGGTGGTATTAGGAGCTAACAAAGAAGGAGCATCAGCGGTTGGAGAAAGGGCAGCAGTGGTCACAGTGGTGGCAGATGGGGCGGCGACCGCTGCACCAGACGGGGTTGCGACTGAAGTCAGGGACAGGGCTTTAGCACGGCCAGCAGGGACGGTAGAGGCCACAGCTGGGGCAGAGGAGTCTGCTGCAGGAGCGGTAGAGACCGTAGACGGAGTGGCGTGGGCCGCAGGAGAGGCTGTCAGCAATGGGGACGCTGCAGTCCCACCAGAGCCCCATGACGAGGTCCTCCCTGCCCCCCCCAGGCCCACTCCCATGCAGTCAGGAGCTTTAATAGAGGGGTAGGAGGAAACAACGAGGACAGGGAATCCGGAGACTGCACCCATCCACACCCCGCATCTTTTAGCCCACTCCCCCCCAGGAGCACCCACCCTTTGCCCCCACCCTCACAAGCATTCTCGCGAATTAAGTGGGGCAGCCAAGGCCCGGGCTTTCCTAGAGGAGCCCTACTCCCCGATTATCAACTCTTAGCCATTACTACCTCCCCTTCTACCAGGTCCGCCCTCACCGGTAGATGTGCACATGTCCAAGGCGCTTGGTTCAGGCGCATCAATCCCCGCACCGACTCCCCTCCGCCCCGTACACTACACCATTCCACAGCGCCGGATATCGAAACCTCATCCCACTGCTATGAACTTGCCCCTCCCCTACCATCCCCCATCATTATCATCATCACCACCCTTGCAGCCCCAGGCACCCCATGGTCACCACCGCCCTCTCCCAGCCCATTGACCCCCGCTTGCACCCGCACAGGCCCACTCACCATCCCACAACCAGCACCGTTTGGTATCTACCACGCCACCAGCTCCCGCCACCTCGGGAGGTCCCACGGGTGGATGGAGGTCTCATGTTGAGCCATCTTGCCGCGCCAACATTCCCCCCCTTCCCCTCCTTCCAGACCCCACTCTAACCCCCCCCCACAACAACCAGACTGCAACTCTCCAAGCCAACGCAGGTTGACGACAGAGGGGGAGAGCCAGAGGCGGGGAGGGCTTAAGTTCCATACCCCCACCTCCGTTTTCTACCCCACCTGCAGCTCTACTTCCCGCCCCCTCAGCCCAACCTGCTCCAGGCGACCCTCACATGGGCTTATCACCTAGCAATCCCCCCCCAAATAAACCCTCGCCTTTGCACGCACACGGTGGAGGTTTTACCGGCGCAATCCTTCCCCACCAACATCTGGTTGCCGCTCAGGATGACGCCCTCCCCACTAGGATGGAGGTAGTTGGAGTTGGGGTTGACAAAATGACGGGTGAGGATGAGGCTGCACTTATCTCTCATACCCCCCTTCCCACCACTGCGTGCAACCCCACCCCTGCTCCCAACAGCTCAACTGAGAGGGCTAGAGGGTGAGTTAAGGCCGGTGCGACAACCACATGCAACCCAGCCACATGGGCCGGCGGTGCTTCACTTTTCTCTCGCTGGACCAGATCACCCTCCCTCCCTCACAGACCTGGAGGCGTCGGAGCCCTCATCGGGCTTGGGGGCGGCTGTATCTGACTTGCTGGCGATACGAAACATTGGCATACCCCTCCCTACTCCCACCCCCCCGGCCCCAGTGGTACACGCCCATGAAGCCCCCCTCATGGACCCCCCTCTTGCGGCCCCCATCCTGCAGGAACCCTTCCACCCTTCTCTGATGGAGACCGATCTGATCTTCAGACCGTGTGCCTCTGACGCAGATGTAGGTGCACCACTCCTGCATGCCTCACCCCACCCATCCCCATCACCAGCCCCACCTATCACCACAGCAGATAGTTCGGAGGGCACGGCCACGGCCGACCCCACCGACACAGCGACGTCACCAGACGAGGTCGTGAGGTGCCCCACATGCCTGAGCTCCTTCGCGAACCGCCGAGCACTCCGACACCACATGCCATTCTGCCACCTTGCCGACGCAGCTCGCAGGGCGCAGGCCCTCCGCGACAGGGCCTCAGCTCTACCTTCCCTAGCAGAGCCCCGAGCTCAGGGGATGCAGTTCACAAATGCACATTGGCGTTCGCTTGACTCCATCCGGTGGTCGGAGTATTTTGCCCCGAAGCGCATTCATGCCCGTCCTCTTCGGGGTATCCCCTCGAGGGTCCGTGGTGGGTATCTAGACATCCTCTACGCCATCTTAGCACGGGTCTCCCAGGACCCAGAGGAACCAGGCCCTACTCTCCTCTAAGCGGCAGCACCGACGCTCCTATTGGCCCTGGCGACACCACCAGAGCGTTCAAACACGGCCGCCATTGCAGTGCGCATCATCCATTTTGGACGAGGTGAGTGGGACGAGCTCATCTCTGAGGCCCTACATCAACGTACTCCCCTTCTTCTACGAGCAGTACGGCACGCTCGCGCCACCACTTTCTCCCCCACACTGGATGACCGTCGCATTGCCCACTGCCTGCGTTTGGCGGCTTGCAATGAGACCTCGCGGGCCTGCGCGGCCCTGGAGTCGTCAGAGGCGGCACATGACACGGAGAGTACGATGCAACGGCTGCGGAGCAAGCATCCCGTCGCAGAGCGACCGACTCCAGATTGGCTACTGACCTTCCAGGATACTGCCCTTGTGCTCTCTATGGATCACCTCCGCCGCGCTATCTTCACAGCCCCGCGCGGGTCGTCTGGAGGACCGACAGGCTGGGTTGCCGAGCATCTTCGAGACACTTTCTTTGCCTTTCTTGAGAGCCTCCCAAGCCTGCTCGCCGTGTACCAGCTTTGGCTGCGAGGCTACTGCGCCCCGCCAGCTCGGTCGCTATTGGCATTGTCCACCCTGGTCGCTCTCGCGAAGCCGAACCTGGATGTGCGTCCTATCGCGATAGGTGAGGTTCTAATTCGCATCCTTTCTCGCGCAGTATGCTTGCAGCTACGGGACCAGATGGCTAGAGTTTTCTTGGGTCACAACAGTTTGGGGTGGGCGTTACCTGTGGGACAGAGGTCGTCGTTAGAGGCGTTCGTCGCGCCCTGGATGACCACCCTGACTGGGTGGTTCTTCAGCTGGACGTGGCGAATGCCTTTAACTCATTTCATTGAGACGCCATGTTCCAGGCCCTCTACACTAGTGCTGAGTTCCGCTGTCTTATTCTTTTCATTTGCCTTTTCTATGGGACATCCTCCGATCTCCTTTACTGGGGGAATGGAGGGGTGACCACCATTCACTCGGAGCGCGGGACCCGTCAGGGCGACCCGCTCAGCCCGTTCCTGTATGCACTCACACAGCGCATGGCTCTAGAGCTAGTTCTAGCTGAGGGCGATGTCCAGCTATGGTCATACGCAAATGACACTTACGTACTGGGCCCTCCTTCCAAGGTGCTACACCACATCGCAGAGATTGTGAGGCACTTGCGCGAGCTGGGCCTTGCGGTCCAGCCACACAAGTGTCTCGTCTACGGTAGGGATTTTGTGACTTCCAGAGAGGTGGAGGCATTCACGAGTCTGGAGATCGAGGTCGCTCGCAGAGGACTCACCGTTACGGGAGTGTCGGTGGGCTCTGATGCTTTTGTGGAGAGGAGCCAACCTGAGCGTCTGGAGAGGATGGGACGCGTGTTGGCGTGGCTTCCGAGACTGCGCCAGCCCCAGACAGCGGCCTATCTACTTTCGGCATGCGTCAGCACGCGACCGTAGTATCTGGCGAGGACGGTCCCTCCAACCCCGGCTGTACGTGCTAGTTTTGCACGGTCGGATAAGCGGTTGGGGAAGACCTTTTAGCAGCTTGTGGTGCCTGTGACTTGGACTTGCAGAGAGGACGTTCATGAGGCTGCCCTAGACCAGATCTACCTCCCCATACGTCTAGGGGGTTTAGGCATCCGACGCATCGAGCGTATCGCTCCGGTGAGATATGCATGCTCTTGGGTACAGTGCGCGCCAATCCTTTGCTCCCTCCCAGTGTGCGATGCGAGCATCCGACAGAGCTTCGCATCAGATGATGTTGACCAGATCAATCGATCACTGCGGACGGCACTGGAGGGCCTCCCACGTGACATCCTCTCTCTCTTCCCCCCTGGCAATCTTGTGTCTCTGCTGCCCCTGATTCTCTTTTCACAGGAGTGAGCAGCGTCTTGGAGGCGCGGGCCTTGGAGTCAGTCCGGGCTCGACACACTAACCCCTTGCACCTTGCCCGTTTGACATCCCTTTAGGGCGGAGGTGCAGGCGCGTGGTTGACGGCGGTGCCGTACGCAGACTCGCTGCGCATCCCAGAGGCGCAGTGGCAGGTGGCCTCAGCTTTCCGTCTCGACCTCCCTATCCCCCAACTAGCCCTCGCAGGTCGGTGTTCTTGTGGGCACGCGATCGACGACATGACGGAACCTCACCACGTGGTGCGGTGCTCCCGCTTCGGCGTCACCACGGTCATCCACGACACCGTGACATACATGCTTTGGGACTTTGCTTCTCAGGCAGGTTTCGCGGTGAAGGTGGAGGACACCACTTTGATTCTGCATCTGGAGGCAGCTAGAGCGCGACTGCAGGGACTCTCGGGGACGGGGGACGGGGTACCGAGACAGTCAGGGGCACCGTGGGGATAGCAGTAGCAGCAGGGTGGGCTCAGTCGAGGGGCTGGTGGGCAGGAGGGCCGAGAGGGGCAGGATGGGCTGGCTAGTGGGGGAGAGGAGGGGGGACAGCAGCAGCAGCGGCAGCAGCAGCAACAGCAGCAGCTAGGCCAGCAGGGGCAAGAGGGGCAGACCCGTAGGGGTGAGGAGAGGGGACAGCATGGACAGCAGCAGCGGGGCCAGCAGGGGCAGGAGGGGCTGGCTAGTAGGGGAGAGGAGAGTGGACAGTAGCAGCAGCAGCAGTCGCAGCGGCAGCAACAGCAGCGGCACCAGCAGCAGCTGGGCCAGCAGGGGCAGCAGCACGAGGTTTGTAGGGGAGAGGAGAGAGGGCAACAGCGGCAGCACCAGGAAGGTTAGCAGGGTCAACAGGAGCGGCAGCAGGAGGGTCGGCATGGGGAGCGGCGTGAGGGTCAGCAGAGCCACCCTGGCTGGGAGGAGGAGAGGAGACAGCAACAGCAGCGTCGACAGCAGGAGGGCCAGCAGGGGCAGGAGGGGCAGGCCAATATGGGAGAGGAGAGAGGACAGCAAAAGCAGCAGCAAGAGAGTCAGCACGGGCAGTAGCAAGAAGGTCAAAGGGGTGACAGCAGGAGGGTCAACGGGGCCAGGCTACTAGGGGAGAGGAGAGGGGACAGCAGCGGCAGCAGCAGCAACTGCAGCAGCAGCAGCAACAGCAGCAGCAACAGCATGGTCAGCAATGGCAGGAGGGGCAGGTTAGTGGGGGAGAGGAGAGAGGACAGCACAGCCAGCAACAAGAGGTTCAGCAGGGGCAGGAGAGGCCGGTGAGTGGGGTAGAGGAGAGGGGACAGCAGGGGCAGCAGCGGGATGGCCAGCAAGGGCAGGTCGGGCTCCGGGTCCAGGGGGCGACCTAGCCCTTGGGTGCGGGCTGATTCGGGGAGAGAGGGAGAGAGGAGTTGGCGGGGAACACAACTGCGGGAGCGCAGGGGTTAGGAGGGGAGGGTATGGAAGGGGGGGATAGGGCGAGGGTGCTGGGGGGTTTGGGGTTGGGGAGAAGGGATGGGAGGAGGCAGGTGGGTGGGGGAGAGGATAGAGAGGCAGAGACGACAAGGGAGGAGGCACAGAGGGACCAGGCACAGCACTAGCTAGTACAATAGCAAAGGCAGGCTGGATGCACAGGCCGCATAGGGGTACCAGCCCGCATTCCAGATCTGACTTGCCGTGATATAGAAAAAACTTTGATGGTGCTGGTAGACGTCTCCATTACAGATCCACAGCAACAGGGGAATACCGGGCTTAGACGAGTGGCCCCAGTGCAGATAGGTGTTGCAGCAGCCAGACAAGTGCAGGACAAGTTGCGGGATTGGGCACCGCATCTAGAGGGATTGCACACTTTTATGCTTGTGTAGTGGAGATGTTTGGGTTGCTCAACGAGCCAATGAGGCCATTTCTAGGGCTTTGTGCGCGGCGGATTGCACAGCGGCGTAAAGACCCTGGGGGGGGGGGGGGGGGGGGGGGGGAGGATGATGGGTCAGCATGGTTTTTCGAGATCGGACTCACTACACGAATTTCCGTGGCACTGCAGCGAGCGCATGCTCAAAGTATTATACAACACGCGGTGCGGCAGTTGGGAGGGTCAGACGATGGGTGGATGCTCGCACCAGTCCCTTTGGGTGCAGGGCAGGGAATTTGGCATCACATTACCGGCTGCTTTGAGAGCGTGGCAGATATGGAGTTTATGTACGATGCATATGTGTAGGCGTTTAGCGTTTGTGCTTGAAAAGCTGTGTCCCGCGTTGTGGTGCGAGTTGCTGTGGTGTTTTGGTCCTTAGGTGTTTCCTCCTACTATATTCTTCTCTTCTTTTCCCTTTTCCACCTTTCCTTCGGCCCTTCTCTTCTTCTCCAGCTCTTCTCTCCTTATCACCCTTTCTTTGTTCCACCATCTTTACCTTCCTCTAATACCCCTTCTCTTAATTACCACGACTTTGTATCAAACTTAATCCATAATAACCAAACTACTACCTATTGGAGTGGGTTGATGTGATATGTAGAGGGTACGGGATTGTACGGCTACATATCCAACCTGTATGCTTTCATTCTGGTCATTCTCACATTCTGACAGTAGGTCTGATAAAATTTCTGAATAATCAAATGAATTCAGATCTGAACTGAACTTCCGTGTGAGATGAATCAAGTTGTCTACAAAATCAGATTAACACATTGCCCTATTTTATAACCATCAGACAAATTATGTGTGATACTAACAGACAGCCCCTATTGTATTTTAGGGTTTGGTAAATCTTATCTTAACGTGTCCTATGGCATTCAGTAAGCATTCAGCTCACCATCTCACCTATCGTATATGATAGGTAGTAGTAGCTGACAAATAAAATATGTTGCATAGCACCCGTATCAACCCGGATATTAGCGCACGCGCGCTTATAATGAAACAATGCTTTTTAGGGGGGGTGAGCTTCTAAATGAGTCATAATAGTAAGCATCGTTTGCGGTCCGATACGCCGCGCATCAGCTCAACCTCTAGCACCGTCTCTCTATGCCAAAGATCTCGCCTACACTGCGTTGGACGGGGGAGATTGGCGATGCGTCGGCGTTTCGAGCTTGGAGCGCGCTCTCCCTTGTCTGCGATAACACCGCGGGCAAGCTCTCTCCTTGCACTCTCCGCGGCGTCTTTCTTGGCTTCCCCACCGATGCTCTGGCAGTTTTACCACCTTGCCTCGCGCTGCGTCCTGTCCTCACAAAACGTCACCTTTGACAGGTCGGTCTTCTTCAACTGTCTCCACCCGCACGTGTCTTCCCCCCGCCCCTCTTCCTGGTCCCAGGTCCCCCCCTAGTAGACCCCCTCCCCCCATAGGGTCCTGCTCCCTCAGGTGTGTCTCGGGTCGACCCACCCCCCTTGGTTGAGCCTTTCGAGGTCTCCTCTGACCCCTTTGGCCCATCTGATGGGGGTGACCCCGCTGCTGACGACACGGGGGCCATTCACCGCTCCCCGCGCTTGGAGACCCCTCCTGGTTTTCCGCCTCGGCCGTCTTCGCCGCCTCCGCAGCCTGTCGTTGTGAACTCTGGTACAACAGGGGGTTGTGACACTGGGGGTGCGGACTTTGGAGGTGCTGGTCATGAGGATGCTGCCTCTAGGGGTGCTGAGTCTACGGGTGCTCGTTCTGGGGGTGCCGGTTCTGGGGGTGCTGACACTGGGGGTGCTGGAAGTCCTATTGGTGGTGGAGTCGTGGGTGCTCCTGCTTGGGGTTCTGGCGTTGGATAGCAGCAGCAGTCTCGTCGACAAGAGACCCTCTCGCCGCAGCAGCATCGCGACTGGGTTATTTGGCAGGGCCGGGTTGCTAGAGCTTGGAGTACTGAAGCTGCTGGTGCTGGAGGTGCTGGAGTTGGAGGTGGTGGAGGTACAAAAGCTGCTGGTGCTGGAGGTGCTAGAGCTGGAGGTGCTGGAGGTGCTGGAGCTGCTGGTGCTGGAGGTGCTGGAGGTACTGGAGCTGCTGGTACTGGAGGTGCTAGAGTTGAAGCTGCTGGATGATGTTATAATTGAAGGATCGTAGTGGATAAAATAAAGCTCCCAAATTATATGAGAGAACTTATGAAGTCTCTGTAATGACCTTGTTGTAAGATTTGAAAGAACAAGATGATTGTAAGATAATTAGCAATCCTAGCTAGCCATATACTCTGTGTTGTTCAGGATCTGTCACTTTGAGAACTTACGACGAACTCATTACTCAACTAAACGCAAATCCGCTCAATAGGATTGTGCGCCTTTGGCTTAGCTACCATCTCCAAGTTGAATCAGTCGTTAAGATGGTCTAGAGAGTGAGAACCATGTAAAAACGTCCAGCAGCCGCATAACTAGAATGGTAGAGAAAGTACAAGCATGTAGGCATGGGAAGTTGGAGTTGGGAACCTCCAAGAGAACCATGAGAGGGAAGGGGTTCTCCAAGAGCTAGAGAAGGATGGTAGGAACCTTCCTAGCAGCAAGGATGCAACCCTCATCATGAGGTCCGTGAGGTGTCACATGCAAAATCCAATCTAGTTGGATTTTGCCTAGGTTTTGCAACATTTGCAACTCATGCTAGAAACTTCTAGCCACCCCAATCCAAAAGTCAAAGTTTCCTTCCCTAACCACCTAACCAAAGATCCCTTTATAGTCATGTCCCAAGAAATCACCCAAATTAGATATAACCCCTAAAGGTAATAAGAAATCCAAGTCCTGGAAATCTTGTAACTTGGGCGATCTTGGTCGGAATAAGGCGATCTTGGTATCATTGGAAAGCTCTGGATTTCTCCTGCATGATCAAGCATTTAGACTTGGAGAAAAACACAGAGATGACAATATCCAACAGCCATGCATAATGACATATGCTCATGCAAATCATGCAAGCACAAATAGCACGAGCACTCGGCAGGAGGTTAGGATAACATGCACTCAGAATGATGGCATCCAACAAACTCCCCCTCAGACTAACGGACTGCATGCACATATTCTCACACAAATGCTAACTCTCATGCACACAATCACACATGCAATCATGACACTGCTGCCCACACTAGTGCAATGCCATGCCACACATCTTCGCACACTTCCAATGTGCGCTCTCGGGAAGTCTCTTGGTGAGAAAATCTGCCGCCTGCTTGCTAGCCTTCACATGGTGAAGCTCAACAATCCCCTCCTTCACCACCTGCCTCACCGAATGCCACTTAATCTTCATGTGATTGTTCAGCCCATTGGGAATAAGATTATTTGCTATGCCAATAGCAGCCTCGCTGTCAGAGAAAAGTGGTGTAGGTCCCTCTTGTTAAGCTCCCATGTCCTCCAGCAGCTTCTTCAAGAGCACGATCTCCTGATGGCATGGTACATCGCCATGTACTCTGCCTCTCCGGAAGACTCAGCAATCTCACTCTACTTCTTGGACCTCCAGCTTATAGGTCCACCTCCGACCATGCACACAAAACCACCAACCGATGACTGATCCTCCTCCTCTGAGGCCCATGTGGCGTCG